ACCCAAAGTTGAAAGAAAAAAGACAGAGGAAAAAAGCAGGCAGCACATACAAAAATAATTCAAAGTGAAGACAGAAAATCTATTGAATGAGTCTATGTTTTACTACGAAAGTAAGGAAAGACAGACGAGGGATCGTTGCCGCCATCCGACCCCTCAACAAGTGTCGCATCTGAATCTGATTTGACAACACATTCAGCCGAATGATGACTTGACCAGCATCCCTTCCTCGTAAAACATTGCCCAAGCGCTAACAGCACTGATGCCGTTTGAATGTCTCCCGTTCGATCCACGTACCTAAATGTTACTTCGCTCACTGCGTATGCGGTATCCAACGTACTTCACATTCACTACTTCATGCTAACTCAGTATTTTAAAACCCGAAAAATACAATTTTTCTAAAATCAAATTCAGCAAGAAAACTTCATAACATTTCTGAGTGTGAAACTAATAGACAAAATAAGAAAGGCGGATTTAAAGTAAAATAACACTGACTCGGACAACAAATTGTGCGTACTCTTTTGATATGAAATACCCGTAATAAATAAACCCGGAAGACTACAATGTAAATTTGCACCAACGAACAGCTCCTTGACCGATTTCACAAAATACTGGTCATTGAAGTGGATCGCCGCAAATGCAATCCTGTCCTCCAGCGGAACATCCTTAAAATGTCCAATTCTTGTAAGAAAGAAAACCCAGGCTGGAACGTACCGGGCGGGCCCGTGTGATCATGCGTTTTTGCACCGGACTTGAAGCACTCAGGTCTTTAACTGCATGAATGATTGTTGCTTTACACCTATCTTTTGCGATCATTAGCATAAATTAGCATAAAGTTTGCATAGAGTAGATGTACAATTTCCATTTAACGATCCTTCTTTAAAAGTAACCTAGTTGCTCAATCAGATATTCAGCCAAAATTTTAAGTGCCCGCACGTAAGAACAACTTAGAGCTGAATTTGAAATACTTAAGTTGTATTTGGGCAGAGAACATCCCCCTAAAGTTTCAGCCTTTCAGCTTTTTTAGTTGCCGAGTTAGTAATTTTCCCGCAGGAACTTTCATAAGTCCTTACGCAAGTACCAAGCATAG